GGTGAGGAGGGGGGGGGGACATGGCTCGGAAGATACATCCTGTATGGAGGCGTATTTATTCTTAAAGATATGTGTACATATTTCATCGGCAGGAAGAAGCAGAGTTACGCGTAATTTAGCTTAGAGCATTATAGAAATCAGAGCTAGCTTGGTGTATGTTTACATAAATATAATTATTAATCAGGTTTCTTAGACTCCATAATAGTTATGTATTCAAATCTTTTAATAATCCATTACTTGTTTGTAAAGGGAATTACAATAAGATTTTTGCTCAGTTTAAATTCGTATTTGCGGAGTTTATACGAGAGTTCGTTACCCTGTCACACAGACCTTTATTTCTTGGAGTGGGCACTTAACGTCTACGTCACGGGGGCGATGACCGAATCACAAAATGTGACGTCAAAACATCGTAACGTCTAAAAGTTATTAACGATGCTTCTCTTTTAAGTCACTTCTATTGCTCATATTTATCTTATGCGTTAAATACCCGTTAAAATAGGTAATTAGACACTTTATCTATTAAAAAGGCAAATTATTAAAATTTTCAAAAGGTATAAAATGTAACTAGGAAATAATTTTTTTTAATGATATTTTTATGGACCAGATTGAGACTTATTAGACAGAGTATTTGTTTATGTTAACCATTCCAAATAAGCTAGAAACTTGTGCTAATACAGAACTAACATGAGCAATTCGTACCTACGTCCGCGAGTTTGGAAGTGCCCTTAATAATTAGATGATTAGCGGTTGTTATAATTAAGCATCGGTAAATTTATCTTTAAATTGCTTATGTGTTTTTCATAATTGCTATAATTATTAGGTCATCACGATGTTATTTTCGGAGCTGGCACAACATTGTTTGATGTGTGTTACGTTGGATCGATTTCCATTAATTATTTAGGCTGCGACGTTATCAAGGAACAATCGAGGCCATTGTCTATTCCAAATTTGTTTTCTTATTTGGATTATAGGTTATTTTTGACAGATTTCTTATTTAATTTTGTCGCACATACAGCTTCGTTAAAGTTGGCGTTATATATTTAGATTGTCTTAGGTAAAATAAAATATTTAAAAGAAAACACTAATTGTTATTTTACATTAATTTATTTATTTTAACTTCAATGTCTTGTACATAGATATTAACATTTTTCTAAGCAACTCCAATGAATAAGTTGACTGACTACAGCCATACAATAAGTTCATTTCACACGTTACATTCTGAGTAGGAATCAAAAATAATACAGATTAAGGATTAAAATATATTATAAACTAATTTAATATGGACTAAATTATCTTTTAAATAAATTATAGTCCTCATGGAAATTTAATAAAAAATATAAAAAAGAAAACAGACGAATATTTCTATTGCAGACATTAACAACGATTAAAAAAGCTATAAAAATTTGTGCTTTTATATTGTATACAAGTTTTAGTACAAATTGTATTCTAATAACATTCCATTCAATTCCAAAATAATTAATACCTTTGTCATGTTCACGAGATAAAGTATATTATTGCTATTTCCAACTGTTTGTATTAAAAAGCAACTACATACATTAGTAAACTGATATATAAACACGGCTAAACACTCACGTATATACGTCCGGTGGCGGCACCGACTAGTTTCGAGCCCATCGGGGGCCCTTCAAGGGGGGCCTTTCTTGAAAGGCCCCCGATGGGCCGTGTTTATATATCAGTTTAGTATAATGTCTCACGAAAGTTTGAATAATTTACATACATTAGTTCTTATATTATCTAAAAGAAATTATAAACAAGAATGTTTTCTTACCAAATTATCTATATTAAAACTTCGATGTCAAAAAAGAAACTTCCGAAACATCTGGTAAATATTGATATGTAATTAAATTGTACGGAATTAGAGAAATCTGATTATGTTTAAATTGCTTTAGTTAACTTTGCAGTCGATAAGTTATTAGTTAAATGTAACTTATTACATTGACTATTGTTAACATGATTATAACATAAATTATCAATTAAACTTATGATAATAAACTTGCTTTAAAACTAGTAAAAACGATGCTTAAACTAACAAGAAAATAATTAAAGCAACAAAGAAAAAGTAGTTTAAAAAATCTTTAGTTGTATTCAAAATTAAATACCTAAGAAAAATAAAACACATAATACTATTTATCAAATTTTAGATGTAAAAATAGACGTGCTATAGCAATAACCTGTCAAATCCTGATGCACATTGCTTGAGAGCTAACTTACATAACTATGTATATAACTGTAGAGTTTCACTGCCGTGACACCTTGTGTATTGTCGTCCTTGTCATTTCCTTTCACAAAAAAGAGACGACAATATGTACTGATATTAGTGATACGGCAGTCAAAGTCTACGTTAAAATTACAAATTCTTTTTACAACCTAGAACTATAGCGAAAACTACAAGCGCTATACATATAAAATACATAATATATTACATACAACACCAAACAGTTTATTATGTACAACTATTTATGTAATTATAAGTTAATTTAGCGCAAGACATAAATTTGCACTCCTTATTAAAATTATTTTATTAAAACAATTCCGACACAGTTATATATGTAGAATATTGAATTATGTATTTAAAACTAGTTTTAAATATGTTATAGTATATCAATATTTTATATTCTTAAATTGTAACACCAAACACCGCAACTCATAGTAGCAATATACAAGAACGCGTCGCGTCTACTTCAACTGAATAAAAGTTAACATCTACATTTGTTATTGTTCTATTTAATATATAATTTATAAATATTATAATATATTACAAAAAAACATGAAGAGTATATGTATATAATATGTATACAAAACAACATTCTCCTATGAAATATGTAAGTTTAAATGTTCGTTAGAAAACTACATATATATAAGTAATCGGTGTATTAATATAACAAAGTATATAAGATGGTGTTTTTATATTTATTGTACATTATCAGATCAAAACAAAGTCAACTAGCTTACATATTGCCATCATTTATAAAATGCAGAAATATACTGATTCTTATAAAAAATACAATTATTGCCTAATCAACTTAATTCAAGTTTGATGCGTCAAATCTAAGCTCACATTGTGAATATTTTTATCTAGAAAAGAACTTTAGAATTAATAGCTTACTTAAAAAATGTTGCAAATATGTTAAACACATTATTATGTTAAAAATTACAGCAATGGTAAATAATTAAAAGATTAAAAAATAGATTTTTTAAAGCTAGATATAGTATTTATCTATATAAAATGAAACAGATTAAATCTTTACAAAACATTCGTTGGTAACTGTTCGGTTAATCAAATAATGTTCAAAGTTATTCGGATTTATTACATTCACAAGCTAAGCTTAGTGTTTATAAAATTAGCATAATTTAAAATCCCTCATAGTATCACAAATATTTCCTTTTAAAGGAATCATCCTTTGCTTTTACAGCATCAGTCTCGCAACGCTTCGACTTTATCTTTGATATTCGATGGATTTAAAAAAGAAACAAAAAAAAAAACAAAATAACAAAGGAGAGAAAATACTTTTTTAATGCAACATAACAGTGATACGCATGACACTGGCCACATACAATTGTTATTTTTAGTAGAAAAATATTAATCTGTTTTTTTTTGTTTTAAAATTTTAACTACTAATTCGTAACTATAATGTGCCATTAATGAGTATAGATTATTAACTTAATTATTAAAAAGATACAAAACTACATATTACTAACTTTTTTCCTAAATATTTGTATATATTTTATTTATACAAATTTTTGTTTATTACTTAATTAATTCCGTTTAGCCAGAAATGTACGATTAATTATTTTTGTGCATCGTAAGCGGCTTCCTGTCCACACCGGACAGACTAAAAATATATTTAGAATCAATAAAAATAACATAATCAATATGACATTTTTATCAATCCTAAAAAATTATAAATATATTATGTACACACAAACTTTTTATTACTAATTTCTAATTATTACTTTAAGGGATGACAGAGGGCGACAAACTTGTAATGAAGTCCATTATATTTTAAAGTATGGTCATTACATTTATGTAATAAATAAAAGGATATAGGTTTTGGTATATTATAAAGTGATAAGTGAGCGAGGGGCCGCCTGAATTCGCCGAAATAGCGAAGCGACGACCACTGCTCAAAGACATACGCAATTGCGTCTCTTTCTTTTAAGAAATAGTTCATATTACAGTTGAACTAGAAATTTTGAAAATAAGGATATTCATTAAATTACTCTTGAGGGATTTAAAAGAGACATTACTTTAATGTTTTTACTTTTATATTATTCACTTTTTGTTATTTTCTTTTATTTTTTCTACAATTGTACTAAATGTTTATCAATAAACAGTATATTCAAAATGTAAATGAAGAATCATTAAAAATATATATTCAAACCCAGATTTTAATGAAACTATAAATTAGTTTTTTATAATGTCATTTCAAAGAAACATAACTTAATATATTGCTATTAATAGATGTTATGATGTTTGTATTATTTGTGTTGTGTGTGTGTGTATGTGTATGTGTGTGTGCGTGTATGTGTGTGTGTATATGTGTGTGTGTGTGTGTGTGTGTTTGTGTGTTTGTGTGTGCGTGTATGTATGTATGTATGTGTGTGTGTTTGTGTGTTTATGTGTTTGTGTATGTGTGTGTGCGTGTAGCGACTGCGGCAGTTCAATGTAAAAATAAATTCTTTCATTTACATACCTTCAAACTTTACACGTAAAAAAGTTATTTATCTTAATAGTAGTAAAAACTATCGAATACAACAATGATTAAGTTTAGTTATTATATTAATATTATTGAATTTCACGATGGTCGAGAATTTGGTTCTTGTATCATAACAAAGTTCCCAACGCAAATGTTCTTGATGTTTCAAGCGTAGAAAATATTCGTCGATATGACACACGCGCCCCAACCTCTCCGAAGGGCGACATCTCTCGGACTCCAGCGGCACTATTGTAACCAATTCCAGTCTCCGTTGCGGAAGAATTAAACTCCTGTATGGTTGAAGATAAAGGACACGGCATTCTTGTCCACGGGAGGTGACCGACGTGTGATCGATGCGTGGTTATTGTTGTTATAATGCCATGATTTCCTGGTCGACGTACTCGAGGACTGAAGTGCAATCGTCTCGTAATACCGCAGCCTCCCGCAACACTTCCTGCTCTTAATGATGGCGACGAATCCCTTCCTGTATTTCTTGTTGAAGAAAGCATACAGTATAGGATTGATGCAGGAGTTAGAGGCGCCGAGCCACTGCGCCAGCGGCGTCACCACGGGGAAAATGTCCTCTTCCCATTTCTGCACCGGACCGCCCAACTTTATCCTCGCGAATATCAGATACAAGGGAAACCAGGAGAGCACAAACAGTATGACCACCGCGACCAGCATCTTGACAACTTTCACTTTAGACTTTTGTTGCATTCTTTCCATCTGAGCATCCTGTGTGTCAGTGGGTATAGAGCGCCTCCACACCTTGATCCAGATAAGTATGTAGCACATAGTGATAAGAACCATCGGCAAAATATAGCAGAAGATGAGGTTTCCGATGACGAAGTATAATATCTCGCTCAAGGGGTTGGGCCATACGTCAAGACAGAGGCGCACGTGGGGGCTGTCCTCGAAGACTACCACCAGGTCGAAGAAGAACACCCAGGGCGTGGTGACGGAGATGGCGAATATCCAGATGAAGACGATCATCATGCGTGCGCGCCGCTTCGTTATTTGGCATTTGAGTGGCCACCAGATGGCAAGGAATCTGCAACAAAAAGAGTAAAAATTAGTTTTTATTTCGCTTCTATCTTAGAATATGCTCGTGGTGTGTCACAGAGGTAAAGTGGCAAACCTTGAGGTGTCGCTACATAAGTCTCGGATAGGTCAGAAATAGACAAACGCGTTTGATATTTCAATAGTTATCGTGTCGTTGTTGATACTTTTAGTCGCCTTGCTGTTATTATTATTATTATGAGGCGTTGTTACATCGACTAATTTAAAACAAATTGTAGAAATTAAGTGTGAATTTTGTATACACAAAAATATTAACCTAACATATTTTAGTAAAGACTTGCTGACCTAAAACATAAATTTAATATGTCACGTATTTGTTACTAAGAAACAGAATAAAATTGACTTCTAGTGCTTATAAATAGAATGTTATCTACCAAAGAGCTTTTTTGTATTAATCATTTTATTTTTAGGAGTTTTTTTCCGAAGACATTCTCACCTGGCCGCGCGAGGACGGCTGACGAACTGACAAATGGTTCTAACGTCAGATATGGGGTCCACCGGTCCGGACATTGAACCCGATTTCAGTATAGTCCCAAAGGGTCTTTGTCGACTAACTAATTCCGACTGTGAGGCTTTGATATGTGGTTTATATGCTAATTAATGGTAAAAACACAGCCGTACCTTTTAAATATTTTACAAAAAAAAAAAGAATTTTCCAAAATATATTTGTGTAATTTTTGTAAAAAGGAACTGAAATAAAGGCCTGTAGGAAATACATTTTTGTATAATATCATTGAACACATTAGTTAAAAATTATATATAATAATTTGGAAGAAATGTGGCAAAATTACCATTAGGTTTTCCTGTTTTTTTTTTCTTTGCATTTTGTCATAAAGCAATAACTGCACGGCAGATGCCGAAGCGACCTCGTGTGGAATACACGCACATTAAATTGCGTGAAATCTTCCAACACTCATTAATCACAGTCTGCCGTAATCCTGCGTTGACATTCGAGATGGCATAATCAGGAATATTTTAGCACAGATGCCCTTTTACAGTATATTCGAAATGAAATGAAATGCATCATTACCATAGACCTTTGAAAGTTAGAGTTGACATGAAAAGCGAAAACGTAATTTAATTTCCTATTTTTAACACATGTATAGTTTGATACGAATCCACTAGATGGCGCTAGTAATACTTTAGAACGCAGTATTCAGATAATTTGACAAAGCACGTTGTTAGATGGTTTTCGAGGTATTCAAATGACGGTTCATTTATTTTGCGAGTTTATAAATTTACAAACATGATGTGATATGAAAATTATTTACCTTTTTACTAAAATAATTGCTATTCTATTATGTATAGATCTGTGGTTGAAGATTGCTACTGACAGTAAAAAATAACGACTATACGAATATAACTTTACACAATGTAACCTCACTAACATTCTTAATTAAGAAGATACATATGTAAGCAATATAAAATCGCTACCACCGGTTGTTTAAAAAATGTTGTTTTTCATTTATTGATATTATCAAACAAAATTAGACTTTGTATACTTTACTGAATCGATTATATTTAGCATCATCATCAGCTCATTATACATCCCCACCGAGGGGCTCGGAACCTACCCTAATTTAAAGGTGATTTGGCCATAGTCAATCACGCTGGCCAAGTGCGGGTTGGTTGACTGCACACATATCTTTGAATTTCTTCTCAGATATGTGCAGGTTGCATCACGATGTTTTCCTTCACCGTAAGAACGAATACTTTAGCATATTTACTATTAAAAGATAAAGTATTTTTAATATTTTATTTATTTATTGTAAATCTTAATCATTTAAATAACGCCTTAGGGCGACAATCAGTGGTGTAATTGTTATGGAACACTTTATCACAAAAAATTTAATAAAAAAAAACAATCATAAAAGAATAATTATAATAATTGTTAAATGCCTCATTTTATTACTTTAATTAAAAGTTATATTTTGATGACAATTAAAAAAGTCGCGCTATTAATTAAAGCATATTTTAACTGGACGTAATTTTGCGGACGCGAGCGAAGTTTTAACTCTTTTTTAACTGTCGCGATTTAAAATGATTTGTAGCGCTGATGTTATTGAGTTTGACATTGACATCAAAATGGCGTAATTTTCTTCCTACACTTTTTATTCATGAAAATAAAACTGAGAGATTGAAAATATTAAAAGATATTTGAGGTAATTCAATATTACAAGATGATAATAACATTGGTTCCCTTGAATCTTGAGAAGTCATTTACGACTTGAGAGCCTAGCAAGAATATACGTGAGAACATTTTTGTAACGTTATGGAAAGAATTGTATTAAAATTAGTGCAGCGCCGGGTGTACTGTACAACATCATATTTTGTAGAACGCATTATGTAGGAGCGTGTCACAAATATTCGCGCTAGGCCCTCTGATTCCAAATTGTATAGCACTCAAATAAAATATCAACCTTATTTGTTTTAAAATACGAGTGAAGTTATAGAGTTGTAAAACGTTTAATATTTGAGCCAGTAATACACACAAGATAAAATAACATTAAAAAACGTTAGTAAGAGATTCAATTAATGAGTACAGTAATCTACGTATTTCAGTTGTAAATCAGTTTAATAAAGTTAAGTTAATACAAATATCTTACAATCGCGCAATAAATAATGTTTAGCATTAAACCATATCTCGAATGGATATCGTCGACACTCATTACTTCACGCCGATGTCATATCGTAATAATTTAATTACAACGAAGGCGCTAAATTAATAAAATTGCAGTAAAAATCTCTTTTATAACAGATGCAGTAAAAACAAAATTCCATTATGTACCTTATTGCATTACGTTAAGGTCTACAATTATTTCGCTTGGTACGTGTATAAGTGGTCCCTTTGTTGTAGGTAAAGTGTGAATTATTTTTCTGTTACCGCAAAGTTAAAGGTCATTTTTACGAGTCGCCAACAATGAATGATTTATCAGCTGTCACTTCGTGCAAGTCGCGATGCTAATTAATAACATGAGCCGTATAAAGATCTTTAACCGACTTTCCTAAATTTAATAAAATCCAGGAATATTATAATATATTGAATAAAATTTCTAAGAAAATTAATCTACAACACATTGTATTCAATTAAAGTTGGCTAAGTTAAAACATTTAGAGCTGTTTTAACAGAAATTTAAATTAAACATTGTATAATCGTTACTTTAAAACAATTATTCCTATGCTAAGACTAATACTGTTAAATTCTGCAGAATTTAGAAAGAAACTTTATGTTGTCTGTGGTAATATAATTAATACATAATATGAAAATTAAAAAACATAATTATAAGAGACATAAAATCACGATAAGATAAAACACGAGCTGATATCACATACATATTGACCATAAATATCATTTTAAAAATATTAAATCTGTACTTACTCAAACTACATTTCATATTGAAGCTTATTTGAAAAGGGTAAACGTGAAATATACGGACAATTAGTCGGAGTCAAGAGATATGGAGGGACATAAAGCATCCTGTCTGTTGCAATTATCTGGAGACGATACAGCCTTGAACTGAGCCTTAAGGCTACCAATACTCGTACTTGGATATTTTAAAATAATATGTATAATATTTATAATCAAAGAATTAAATTACTTTCCCACATAGGATCGAATATTGTACTGTAAACTATACTTTGAATTACCTTATTGCTTTGTAAGTTTTTTTTTAATTCAGCACGGGCGAAGTTGCGGGCGACAGCTAGTGTATACCTAGTTTGTAAAGGAGATTTATAGTACGTCCAAGATTAGAAGACAAGCCATAAATGCCGTGATTCAAAACATTATTAGTATAATAGTATGTAGTAGTCTGAGCATGACTTTTTAAATAAGTAATTTGTGGAAAAGTTAAACTTTGTAATCAAGGTGTTTTACAATATAACAAGTGTTAAAAGCCATTTAAAGGAATTACTGTAGAACCAACAAGCTCGCGTGCCCGCAGAATTGGCTCGAGTGCAATTAGCGGTTGACCAACACATATTTTAACCTTAAATCCTCAAGTATAAAGGCGGTGACACACTAGCAACATACACGTGTTAATCTAGAAAAAATCACGTGACGATTTCTTTTTATATGAAGTAGTCAAAGGGCCTGTTTTAAGTACTATATTTTTAATTTACCGAAGGCAATCCAGTAATAATTTTAAATAGTGCAATTATTAATTCCGTAAATAGTTTCCAGGTATGTTATTATATAATTAAATTAAGTACTCCAAAGTGAAAAATAATAAAAATAACATTTTTTACTTTCCATCATAGTGTGTCGCAGTCTTTACATTTCGCTACCGGCACATAGGCGCCAAAAGCCGGCTTGTCTGTGAGCTGGTGCAAAACGGTAGCTCGTTGATAAATCACATCATTTAGCTTAAATTATAGTCGGTTTGATGGAGGAAAGTATTGAATATTTATCTGGCCTTTATCTTAAGTCATTAATATTTTTATACGTACAAATTATTACTTAAAAAGCAATATCCTTTACGATGGGCCATTCATTCATTCTACCGCAAATGTTTATAAGAACCGTTACTTTACAAAAGCTACAACCATAATATTATAATAATTAATTTAATGTAGTGGTGAGAATTGATTTATGTACGCGCGGACTTAAAAAAGAACTTAATTAGTAGCCTTTGTATACTTCACGACTGTTTTACACATCTACACCAAATATCAGTGAGATCCATACATCCTTTCTGAAGATACATTCTTAAAAACATCCATTCATCCATCTAAACATTGGCATTTATAGTATTAGTAAGAAGTACGTATTGACAAAAAATTACCTAAACTCTTTGATATGTTGCAATGATTGCTTCACAGACATTATAGTATAAAAGAAGCTATATGTGAAACAAAAGAACTCATTTATGTGACTGATAATAATATATGTGAAGCCTTTATTACCCGCACTGACCATCTGGAGGCTTGCATCACCAGATATAATACCATTCACATTTTTGAGCGGATCGG